AAAGGAAAAGGAAACTGGAGATGGACCAGGAGGTGGCCAACACCTTGCAGCAGCCCCGCAGGAGCCTACCAATGCTGACGAAACCATGGAGGAACCTAAGGAGGTGAAGCGCGGAGGCAAGAAGCACACCAAGAAGGGCCTGAAGCTCGAGCAGACCATGCGGGGCGACGCTCAGGACGATCGAGCTCAGCTTCGAGTACCTGCCAGGATCCAGGGGCACATGGAGGAACGCCAGAAGGCGGAGGAAATGGCAGCAGTACCAGCCGAGGCACCGCAAGATCAGCCGGCTACATCATCGTCAAGTACGCGACAGCCTGCGCAGGGCAAGCGCCAGGAACACCCAGTCACGATCAAAGAGTTCTTGCTGGACGATGTGCCGATCAGAATCAAACGAGCCCGGGCGCAAACTGGTCCAGTCAAGCAGCTGGCAGATACACCGCTGCTCGTCGAGGCGTTCGTGGCCGAACGGATGTGCAGCCACCCGACGAGAGCCAACAAGCATCAGGAGATCAACTTGAAGACGCTGGGCGATGACAAGCTCCAGTGGAAGAAGATGCAGCAAACGGTGGAGAAGGATCGGAACACGTGGTGCAAGTACGATGCAGCAACCCACAGATCAGGGGCAGCAGTCGACAAGGTCGACCCGGACAAGATACTGAGCTCCAAGGTGGTCTGGACCGATAAGGACCCCGCGACCTTCGAGCCGAAGGCCAGGATCTGTGGAAGAGGCTACGAGGAGGAGTTTGACGACAAGCTACGACGAGACTCGCCTACTGTCTCAGCACAGATGACGTTACTCCTGTGTAGCATCGTCTCAAGCCTCAACTTGGACCTAGTCATCGCAAATGTGAAGGGAGCCTTTCTGCAAGGCAAAACCATCGCGCGCGAGCTCTACTTCCGCATCCCGACGAACCTCGGGAAGTGCAACATCCCGGGAGTGAAGGCAGGCGACCTGCTGAAGTTAAACAAGAGCATCTACGGGGCCAGCGATGCAGCTCGTGCGTGGTATGTGGCACTACGCGAGACGCTCGTGAAGCTTGGATGGGAAGGCCCGAGCTTCGAGCCCGCGACCTTCATCAAGCGCAATGCGGAGGGCACGATCATCGGGATCATGTGCCTGCACGTGGACGACTTCCTCATGGGCATCAATCAGGACGACCCGGACGGCGCCAAGATCATGAAGGACCTGCAGAAGGAACCCGACTTTGGCGAGGTCAAGTACGCGAGGAAAGAGCAGGCGACGTTCTGTGGCCGTGCCTACAAGCAGGACAAGGACGGCAGCATCAACGTCACCATGGAGGCCTACGTGAAGTCGGTGCAGACTGTGCGTATCTCCAGAGAGCGCAGCAAGGCACCATATAGCGCCTTGACCCATGCAGAGCATCGTGGACTACGAATGGTGGTTGGACAACTGCAATGGGCTGCGCGAGTGATATGCTTCGGAGAGGCCTTCGAGGCATCCCGACTGGCATCTACGCTGGGAGCTCCGACGGTGAAGGACCTACAGGACGGCAACGCGGCCATCAGGCGGATGCAGAAGCGGGGCGACTTGCTCATCAGGTTCTCAGCAGGCCTGAACCTGTGGGAGACCACGGTGACCAGGTGTCACCGACAGTGCTTTCGACAATCTGCCGAAGCACAGATCACAACGCGGACACTTCGTCATGCTGGGCGACCAGAAGATCAACGAGGACCACAGTAACAAGTACAAGGTGCACTGCGTTGGGTGGCAGCCTTCCAAGATTCAACGAGTGGTGCGATCTACTCTATCAGCGGAGGCCTACTCATGTGCGGATTCAGTGGGCATGTTGGTATGGGCGAGGTCGACCCTGGCGGAGATCCTGTACCCGGAGATGGACATGACCGAGATTGTGCACGACACCTGCCCGGTGAAATGCATTTCGGTGACTGACTGCAAGAGCCTATGCGACACGATCACAAAGGAGAAGATTTCTATGACGGACAGGAGGCTTTCTTTGGAAGCGGCTATATTGCGGCAGTCACTCAAGGAGGTCAGCATCAAGTGGGTCAAGAGTGAGCAGATGCTAGCGGACTGTTTGACAAAAGTACTTCCAGGAGGCTACGCGAGGAAGATAGTTACATCAAATTTGTAGACCCTGATGACAGGGCACCATCAATACGCGGACGAAAGCTTGTTGAACCAGAGAAGGTGGAAGCCAACAAGGAGGTGGACGAGCTCAACGCGAAGATGGCCAAGTACGTCAAGCAAGAGCTGTACGATGACACCGGGAAGGACGACGAGGAGATCTCTACGTGGCCGGTGGAGACGTACAACTACGTGGACGAGTGCTTCTACGACGACAAGGGCGAGGTTCAAGACGAGGACTACGTCGAGGCATTACACGGAAGAGCTAACGGACAACTACCCGATGGAGAGGAGTGGCGCGCAGAGAACCATCCAGATACTTGACCAAGTTGTAGTTCTGTTTCAACTTTGTGCACTTGCTGTGTATGGAATTTGTCTTTCGATGTCTCCTACGGTTGTGACAGTAGTCTCTATCATCGCGGGTATCCTCATATTCATTTACGTAATGCAGCCTAACCAGAACGACGACGAAGACATGTTTGATCCGATGGAGGTGGATAGTTCAAGCAGCGACAACCTGTTCAAGCCGGAGTTGCCCGAGAAGCCGGTCAAGGTCAAATCAAGGACAGCGAAGGCTACGCCAAAAGCTACGACGACAACACTCGCAGTACGAGCCGATCCAGAGACCTATGATGATGAGATCATGGGAGATGGACTAATTATGCTGGGAGATAGTGCTCTACTGAGGCAGTGGCTGGATACCATGGGACCGACGATAATCAGGAGTGGCAAGTACGAGGGCGACAGCTACGAGACGATCTATACGAAGGACAGGCACTATGCAAGCTGCCTAGGACGGTGCCTCAAGCTGGACGCAGACGAGAGCAGGAGTTGCAACCTCGACCCGAGCATCAAGGTTTACATTGCATACAACATCATCCAGTCAGCAGTGCGTGTACGCTGATCACCACTACTGCATATGTGGCGATATCTTGGAGCCAGCCAAGGCAGTGGCTCAGATGTGAGCGGTGGTGAGGATGATGAGTGATTTGGGTTACCAATTTCAAATGATGGGTGATGTTTGGTCACCATCTACATATGAAGAGTGAAGGCACCCCCTCAAGAGCTCATGCAAAGATTTTATATATTGATATCTGTTGCTCGGTGCGCAGACCTCAGGTACAGATATTTCTAGCTGTTGTTCAGTGCATGGATGTCTTGTCTTCGATTTTAGTATATGTTGCTCGATGCGTTGGTTTCGTTTATCTCGATATCTATTGTTTGATACACGGACGGTAGTTTGACCGTTCGAGCAGAGAATATTGGATCTCTTGTCTTTGATACCTGTTGCTTGGTGCACGGACGATAGTTTGATCGTTCGAGCCGGTAATATTATTGAATAGTCTAGAAGCTTGCTGCAGAATTTGCCGAGGCATTCTTTAGCAACGTTTCCTTTTCCTGTGTGAAAGTTATATTAACAAGGATGTGAGTTATAGGATGATGTTTAGAATTATCTATGTTAGTGCTCTCGCTCGATCATGCTTGCACTCTAATGTTCAATATTGCCATTTGTGGCTTGGACCCGCCCCGCTGAGGCGGGAGGGTGGGCGCACCTATCGAACGCTGAGTTTGATTCGGTATAAGATATCCTATCATCTGCCTGTTTCTTCTTGCATCAAGAGATTGTGGGTGAAGAGATTTGGATCAATATTTACAGAATACTGCATACCAGCGAATCCGATGGAATACGCAGGATCCTCCCAGTTGCCGCAAGCACGCCACGGCGAGGCGCTGAGGACAGCTACGTGGCGAGTTGGAGCCAAAACAAGCCAAACCCACACGCAGCCGCTTGTGCTTGGAGGAGGGAGGAGGAGGAAGAGGAGGAGGAGGAGCAGGAGGAGGAGGAGGGGGAGGAAGAGGAGGAGGAGGAAGGAAAGGGGGAGGAGGAAAAGGAGGAGGAGAAGGAGAAGGAGGAGGAGGAACAGGAGGAGGAGGAGGACGAAGAGGAGGAGGACGAGGAGAAGGAGGAGGAGGACGAGGGAGGAGGAGGAGGAGAAGGAGGAGGAGGAAGAGGAGGGGGAGAGGAAGATTGGATGGATGGGGAGATGAGGTGAAGCACGCGGATTGAAAAGAGGCAAGATAAAGAGGTGGAGGAGAAGGAACATGAGAAGGATTCCGACACATGCGTCCAGTGACGCGCCTTCTCGGCGCGAGATGGGTCTGAACCGCCACCCACGAGAGCCGAAACCGACACGAGCACAGCTGGGCCTCCCTCCCTCGAGGGAGGCGGGGAGGAGGAAAATCAGTGTGAACCGAATACGCAACAACAATGTTGCAATATACCCGTCCGCCAAGATACCTCTGAACAGGTCCCCGCAACAATTCATTTTCAGTGTGGGAAATGCTGAATTGGAAGGCAACCTTCTTGCATCCTGGGTCGCACCAGAAACGCAATCCCTGGGACTTCAACGCCGCGAATCGACGTGCCTGCTGTTTCCTGACAAATCCTAAGTCGTGCCAACACGCCATTCTGTGGAAACGAACGCCGTACATCAACGTGAATTCTGCGTCCCGGCAACTCCAAATCGTGCCAGACCGCCCTAGGACTTCAACCGTGCGAACCCTTGAAACGGATGCAATCTGTCAAAACGAATGGGCGCACCGCTAAGGCGAGAACCACAGGTGGAAACAAAATCGAACTCCAGCCCTGAAATGGCTGCAAACTTCAAGAACACATGTTCTCGGCGCTAGAGCGAGAACGGCAAATTGAAAACGGCCCCAGGCGAAACGCTCGGCCCGCTCTACGAACACGTCTGCTGGTGCGACACGGAGCTATTCATAAAGAAGAAGGAGTGGAGGGCGATGGGGGGCGAGAGGGCGACTTTAGGAGGAAACACAAGGGAGGTGTAAGCCGAGTGTCACTGCCTCCGCGGTTTTGGCTGCCCCTTCTAGCTCCGCGACCCGGGCGGCGTCGCCGTCGTAAGCAGCGCCGAGCAGACGCTGCGCGTCCTCGCGCGCCTTCTGGGCCTTCTCCCTCTTCGCCTGGTCCTTCCGCTGGGCTGCCTCCGACTCCTCCTCGTCGTCCTCCTCCTCCAGATCATTTCCCGCAACCTCCCCCCCCTCTCCCCCTCCTCCCCCTCCTCATCCTCTTCCTCGTCCTCGGCCTCCTCAATCCTCATCGCATTCCTCCTCCTCCTCCTTCCCCTCCCCCTCCTCCTCCTCCTCCTCCTCCTCCTCCTCTTCCTCCAAGTCTTCCCCTATTCTCCACCCCCCTTCTGCTTCCTCTAGTGGAAGTCATGAATGCCGCAAATGCCGCTGCTCCCTGGACATCTCCAGGCGCGCGTCCAGACCAGAATTTCGAAGCGCATCCAGCTGCGGCGACGATGGCACCTGCTGCTGCTCGTGCACCAGCTGGTGCTCTGCCGCTTCGCCCTCGACGTCGGCGTCGGCGGCGAGTGTCCTCCAAGGGAGGAGGAGGAGGAGGGAAGAGGAGGACGAGGGGGAGGAGAAGCAATTAAGAGAAGGATGAATGAGGAGGAGGACGAGGAGGAGGAGGAGGAGGAGGAGGAGGAGGAGGGGAAGAAGGAGGAGGAGAGGAGGAGGCGGACAAAGATGAAGGTGAAAATGAAGCTGATGATCAAGATGATCAAGATGAGATGATGAATGAGATGATGATGATGATGATGATGATGATGATGATGATGATGATGATGATGATGATGATGAGGAGGGAGGAGGGGGAGGGGAAGGGGAGGAGCAGGGGAGGGGAATAGGGAGGAGGGAGGCGGAGGAGGAGGAGGAGAGGAGGAGGGACGAGGAGGACCAGGAGGAGGAGGAGGAGGAATTAGGAGGAGGAGAAGGAGGAGGAGGAAGAGGGGACGGAGAAGGAGGAGGAGGAATTAGGAGGAACTAGCAGGAGAAAGGGAGGAGGAGGAGGAGGAGGAGGAGGAGGAGGAGGAGGAGGAGGAGGGGAGGAGGAGGAGGAGGAAGGAGGAGAGGGAGGAGGAGGAGGGAGGAGGAGGGGAGAGCGAGGAGGGAGGGAGGAAGAGGAGGACGAGGAGGAGGAGAAAAAGAGGAGGAAGAGGAGGAGGAGGAGGAGGAGGAGAGGAGGAGGAGGGGGAGGAGGAGGAGGAATTAGGGAGAGGAGGCAGGAGGGATGAGAGCAGGAGCAGGAGGAGGAGGAGAGGAGGAGAGGAGGAGGAGGAGGAGGAGGAGGATCGGGTGGGCAAGTGCGGGACGTCCCTTTCGGCTCTGATCCTCCTCCTCCCCCGGTCCTTCCGCTGGGCCGCCTCCGCCCTCGAGCGTTCCTGGCGCAGCACGGCGGACTCGGCGGCCCGGACTGCCGCGGCCACGTCGGCCTCGTGGCGCGTCCGCTCGGCGCGCAGCCTCGGGCTCGGGCGGGGCCCGCCCGCCCTCGCGCGACGTCGGCCCTTGCCTCGACGACCCCCGCGACTGCTCCTCCGCCGCCTCCGCCTCCGCCTCCGCCTCCGCCTCCTCCTCCTCCTTCTCCACCTCCTCCTCCTCCTCCTCCTCCTCCTCCTCCTCCTCCTCCTCTCTCTTCTGTCTCTCATCCTTTCTCGTATCCTCCCTCCTCCTCCTCCTCCTCCTCCTCCTCCTCCTCCTCCTCCTCCTCCTCTCTCATCCCCTTCCTCCGCCTCCTCCTCCACAACTACACATCATGAATACAACTCTCCATTTCCCCCTGACGCTGTCTGGCAAATATTCGGCCTTTTCCGCGCACGTTTGTTTTACACTCTGGGTGTTAAGAAAATGTGTCTTTTGCTTTTTTTTTCCAGTGCACTCTTTCTCTGTCCTTGCAACTTGTGTTCCCGCTGTAGCGCTGGCCTCAGTTTCTCCCATCTTTCAGAATGGCACTCTCGCTCCGCGGATTCCTTCTCTGGATCAGAGTATTTCCTCATAGTTGTCAGCCCCATTGATCCTCCCGTTCCTTCGATTCCAGTTCCTGCTATTGCTGCTGCTGTTCGTCCTCGTCCCCCTCCCTCCTCCTCCTCTTCCTCCTCCTCTTCCTCCTGCTCATCCTCAAGTTGCGCAGCTCAACTCTTTGTCCGATTGCGCACAGGACGGGCCCCTCTTTGTACGTAGTTCCAGGTCCGCTATGACACGCGTCTGCGGATAGAGAACAACAAACAGCGCAGCGGGAAGGAGTTGGTGGAAGGGGCAGGATGTCAGATGTGGCCCGAGCGCACCCAGCTTGCCTCTCTCCTCTCTCCTCCTCCTGCTCCCCTCCCTCTCCTCCTCGTCCTCCTCCTCCTTTCCTCCCCTCCTCCTCTTCCCCGACGCCCGCTTCCCGATGACTCTCGCCCTCGCCCCTTCTTCGCGCCGTGGGACATTAGAACGGGCAGTGCTTGTAATTTCCCAACCTCTCCGCGGGTCCTCACCGGGCCCCAGGACCGTCAACACAAAAACGGCTCGGTATGATTATGACGATGATGATGATGATGATGATGATGATGATGATGATGATGATAATGATGATGATGATGATGATGACGATGATGATGACGATGATGATGAGGAGGAGGAGGAAGATGAGGAGGAAGCGGAGGAGGATGAGGAGGAGGAAGCGGAGGAGGAGGAGGAGGAGGAGAAAGAGGGGGAGGAGGAGGAGGAGGAGGAGGAATCGGAGGAGGAGGAGGAGGAGGAGGAGGAGGAGGATGGCCCAGGGAAGGGGCCAAGATCCCCACGAGCCCGCGCGCGAGCAGACACCACGCCAGAGTTCCGCCCCGCCCGGAGGCGCTTGCACACCGCAGCTGGGGCGTCCCGCGGCCAGCCTGGGCCTCCGACGCCATCCTTCTGGGCCGGGCGAAAGGGGGGGACAGCAAAGGGGGGGCTTGGGGGTCGGCTCGCGTGGCTGATTTTCCCGGCGCCTCCTGGCGCCGTGGGGGGCTGTGTATCGAGGGGTGGGCCCCTCGGTGGAGCCGAAACCAGCTGCGTGCGGCAAATTTCGTACCCCCCCCTTTCCCAGTCCCCCGCTTTCGTCCGGCCCGATCTTGGGGCGCTCCCGCAGGGGCCCCGAAATCATGGGTGGCGTCGAAGAGGACAGCGGTGAGGCTCTTCCAGTTCGTGACGGTGGCAAGGGCGGCGCGCATGCGGGAGGCAAGGCTCGTGGCCATCGCGCCCCCGGGGCGGATGGTGGACCGGCTGCCTGGCCCGAGAAGAGCGCCTCGAGGGAGAGGCAGGAGGGGGAGGGGATTAGGGGGGGGGAGGGGGAGGAGGAGGAGGAGGAGGAGAAGGATTGGGGCGGTAAGTGGAGAACTTTGTGCCGTGCCCAGCTCTCGCGCTCTGACAGGAAGTCGGGCAGCGGCGCTGGCTGCGCGACGTGCGAGAGGGCGCCTCAGCACCCTGGAGCTGTAGATCTGAATACCTACCAGACCACCCCAACCCAACCCGAAGACCCGAATTTCGGGTTGGGGTGGGGGAGGAGGAGGAGGAGGAACACTTCAGGCAATGTAGCTTTGGAGCGCCTTAATCTTTCAAAAGGCCCAATTCCCTGGAACCATCAACCGATTGGGCACGATGGCCCGTTTGTGTATATGGCCTTGGGGGCATCTGGATCCAAACCGCACGTGGTGGGCCAACGATTGAAGAGAGCCTGGATGCCGTGGCACACGCACTCCAGCTCGGGAGGAGGAGGAGAAAGAAGAGGAGCAGGAGGAGGAGGAGGGGGAGGAAGGAGGAGGAGGAGGAGGAGGAGGAGGAGGAGGAGGACGAGGAGAAGGAGGGATCAGGACGCGGCGGGATGAAGATGAGGGTGTGCTTGGGGGCTGGGTTAAAGGAGGCCCCCTCCCCGGGCGGCCCGTGGAGCCGCCCCGCCGCCAGGAAGCGCCGCGCCGCCGCCCGCACGGCCCCCGCCGCCTGCGCCTGGGGCGGAGGGCGCGCCGCGGGAGGGCGGGGCGGACGGGGGGAAGTTTATTTTGGTTATAGCTCGAGTACAGTCGAAACTAGGCCAGAAGACCCTCCTTCAAGAACATGAGACCCCCCGCTGGCCAAACCAAACAGGACAAACAAGGGCCCCCTCCCCAGGATGCAAAAGAACGTCCAACAAACACGAAGAACACCAAGGTACCCTCCCCGAACCGACCTCGATCTTATACCTCGGTCCGGCTGTAGCAGACTGAATCAGGCGTCTCGAACCTCTGGGCTGATGCTTCCGAGGCTGCTGCAGCTATCGGTGCACATGGACCCGCTGGGCGAGGCGAGATGCGATGAGACGAGCAAGCGGCCTGGAGCCAGGTTCTGTCAGGCTGCGCTGGCCCCGCCGTCGGAGGCGGGTGTCTTTTTTGTGCGGCCCGGTGGTCTCTTGTGCGGCCCGGCGCGCGGCTGGGCGGGTCTGACTGCGGCCCGCGCTGGCGCTTCAGTGAAAAGCGATATGTCAAGGCTTGCTTTCTTAACTCTGGAAATCCTGGCAACCCTTAAGGGCTTGCGTTCCCGCCCAGAAGAAGGTGGCCACACAAAGGACCATCGGGAGGCGCGTTGGTGGCGCAAAGGATTATCCTCCTCCTCCTCTTCCTCCTCCTCCTCCTCATCATCATCATCGGCATCCCCACCATCAGCATCATCGTTGTCGTCGTCATCACCATCAGCAACATAATCACCACCACCAGCGTCACCACCACCACCATCACCATCACCATCTATATCATAATCGTCATCACGATCAGCCCTTCACCGTCATCACCAGGAGGGGCAACAGGCCCTTCAGGGAGCCCAAGAAGCCCTTCATGGGGACTCAAGAAGCCTTTCGGGAGGCCCCGAAAACCCTTCAGAGGGGGCCAAGAATCCTTTCAGGGGCCCAATAAGCTTTCAGGGGGCTCAGGAAGCCCTCCAGGGGGCTCAAGAAGCCCTTCAGGTGGCCCTAGAAGCCCTTCATGGGGGCCCAAGAAGCCATTCATGGGGGGCCAAGGAGCCTTTCGGAAGGCCCCACAAACCCTTCAGAGGGGGCCAATCAGCCTTTCAAAAGGGGCTAAAAAGCCTTTCCAGGGGACCCAAGAAGCCCTCCAGGGGGCTCAAGAAGCCCTTCAGGGGGCCCAATAAGCCCAGGGGGCCCAAGAAGCCCTTCAGGGGGGCAAAGGAGCCTTTCAGAGGGGGCAAGAGGCCCTTCAGGGGGCCCAGAAGCCCTTCAGGGGGGACAAGAAGCCTTCAGGAGGGGCAACACGCCCTTCAGGGAGCCCAAGAAGCCAGAGGGGGCCAAGAAGCATTTCAGGGGCCCAACAAGAAGCCCTCCACGGGGCTCAAGAAGCCCTTCAGGGGGGCCACGAAGCCCTTCAGGGTGCCCAAGAAGCCTTTCAGAGGGGGCAGGAGGCCCTTCAGGGGGCCCACGAAACCCTTCAGGGGGGCCTTCGCCGTTCTCGAGGATTTGTATTCTCCGGAGAACTCCTGGCCGTACTAAAGACCACCGGGCCGCACAACAACTTGTCTGGCCGCAGTAGAACCTTATTTCCCGTCGGAAGCCGCCGATGAGGCTTCTCCGAAGTCGTCAAGGGGCACGCCTGGACTCTCATCGGCATCCTTCTCGAGGAGTCTCGCCCCCTCCGCTCGGATGGCGGGTAGCCCATCCTCCTCGAAGTCGAGGGCCCTCAGCGCCTCTGCTCGGGACGTCATTCCCCCCCCCAAGGTGCCCGCCCCCCGAAACCCGCCGAGGACGCCCACGTCCTGAGCCGAGGATCTGGGGGCCGACTCGCTAGGGCCGAAAAACCGGACCCCCGACATCGTGAGTTTTCCATAATGTCTACCCACAGAGGTCTCGAGTCTCGACCTGTTCCCCAAGACGAGATGTTCACCCTGAATCGTTCTTGGACGGTCCCGAAGCCCAGTAAGGGGCCCCGGAAACCGAAAATAGCGAAACACCTCCCGTCGTGTTTTTTGTTCTTCTTTCTTTCTTTCTTTCTTTCTTCTCTACACAATGAATTGGCCGGCATGCAGGAGGAGGGAACGGAAGGGCGAGGCGGCCGCGGGGGGGAGAGGAGGGCGAGCACCCAAACCAAGATCATACAGCATGAGACACAAAACTATACATAACATCACAAGCAATACACACAACGGCACAGAAAACAAACAAGCCCGAGGCCGCCTGCTCTCGGAGGCACGGTCGACGCAGGGCCCGCGCGGGCGGTACTCGCCAGCGACAGGAGGCGCCGCAAGCACATCACACATTGAAAGACTCGTCGTCGTCGTTGCGCCCGACCTGGCCGTTGCACACGCGTGCAGCACCGGGTGGCCATTGAAGCTATACAGTCGTACCTGGGCCAGACACACATCCCTCAAGAACACAGAGACCCTCCGCCGGCCCAGTCACACAGAACATCCACGTGTACCTTCCCCAGGGAACACAAGAACATCCAACAAGCACGAAGAACCTTAGGGTACCCTCCCCGAGCCGACCTCGATCTTGTGCCTCGGTCCGACTGTGCCCGACGCCACGAACCCCTCAACTGGCAGCTGCGGCGGACCCGCGTCGGCGGCAGGCATAGGGGCAGGGTGAGACACGAGGACGGCGGCGCTGAAGGAACGTCTTCCTCCAGGCCCTCTCGGCCCGCAGGGTACTGCTCCATAAGGTCAGCTTGGTTCTGGCCGCCCGCCCCATCTCCCACCAATCAGTGCAACCGCCCACTCCACCGAGCAACTCCCCTCGAACAGGCCGCGCCACAGATTGTGCTCGCTTTTTTCCACTCCGTGGAGTGCAGCACCTTGCTTCGCTTCGCTTCTCCCCCAGCATTTGATGGAGGAGGGCGAGAACGAGGATGACAACGAGGATGAAGAGGGATGAACATAAGGATGAGGAGGAGGAGGAGGAGGAGGAGGAAGAGGAGGAAGAGGAGGAGGAGGAGGAGGAGGAGGAGGAATAGGAGAAGGATCAGGAGGGGGAGGAGGAGGGAGGAGGAGGAGGAGGAGGAGGACGAGGAGGCACAGAAGGAGGAGGAAATAATTACGGGGATGGCTGTGTTCAGACGAGCACCGAAGCCTGCAGCGACAGCGACAGGAGGAGGCACGATGGCGGGCAGGACGCCGAGGCGGAGGAGGACGAGGAGACACGGGAGGGATGGAGTGTGGAGGGGGCGCGTGGGAGGACGGCGTGTGAGGTGGGCGACGTGTGGCGTGGGGGACGCCAGGATGCTTCCTTCTCCTCTCCCCCCCCTCTCCTCGCCTCTCGTCCTCCCCGTCTCCTCCGTTCCCCCACCCTCCCCTCTCTCCCTCTACTCTCCCCATCTCCTCCTTCCCCCCATGTTTTCAATATGAATGCTACTCTCCTCCCCCCCTGGTGACGTCCGGGAAATGTTCGGCCCCCCATCCACGTACTGTTTTTACACAGGATTCCAGGGAGTTGGGCTTTCGTAGTTTTGCTTGTTCTCCTCAAAATGCTGCTTTCGCTGAAACGTTGGCCTCAGTCATTGCTTCTCCTCAAATTGCTGTTTTCGCTGAAGCGTTGGCCTCTTTTTCGGGTTACCGCTCGTTCCGAATCGCACTCCCGCTGCAGCGATGGCCTCTCATTTCCGCGCTTCCACTCCACTCGTTCCGAATCGTGCTCTCGCTGCAGCGCTGGCGTCATTATTTCCAGCGCCATGCCACGGTATGGTTTTCGGTCCTTCCAAATCGGCCCCACCGTCTTAAAACTGCCTCCCGAAGAACCATCAGAAGTGATTACACATTCGGTGCCGATTCGTTGACTTTTGGGTCCGCAGCCCCCCCCACCTTGGGGCTTCGCCACGCCATGCTATGTCAAGCTACGCGTCCTCCGAATCGCGTTCCCGCTGCAACGCTGGCCTCATTTCCGCGCTTCCGCTCGTTTCGAATCGTGCTCCCGCTGCAGCGCTGGCGTCATTATTTCCAGCGCCATGCCACGGCATGGATTTCGGTTCTCCCAAATAAGCCTCCAAATCCAAAACCATGCCTTCGGAAAAACCTTCGGAAATCCGCCGATCCGGAGTTTGAGTTCAAGAAGTCTAAGCTGAAGCTCTGCTTCAGCATGAGCTTTAGCTCTGCTTGGTAGGGGGGGAGGGTGGGGGGGGGACGTAATTAACTGACGAATTCAGTGCTCGGCACCTCCCCCGCCCTGCCAGCCCCCAGAAGAGAGGGGGGGGGACAGGAGAGAGGGAGGGGGGAGAGGGGGGGGGGTGGACAGGAGAGAGGGGGGGGGACAGGAGAAAGGGGGGGGGGAACAGGAGAGAGGGGGGGGGACAGGAGAGAGGGTGGGGGGGGAACGGAGAGAAGGGGGGGGGAGGGGGGGCAGGAGAGAGGGGGGGGGGACAGGTGAGAAGGGGGGGGGGAAGGAGAGAGGGGGGGGAAGGGACAGGAGAGAGGGACAGGAGAGAGGGGGGGGGGGGGGGACAGGAAAGAGAGGAGGGGGGATAGGGTGGGGGGTGGACAGGAGAAGGGGGGGGGACAGGAGAGGAGGGGGGAGGGGGGGGAAATGACAGGGGGGGGGGGGACAGGAGAGGGGGGAAATGACAGGGGGGGGGGGGTGCGGGATTTTCACCATCTCCATCACCATCACCATCGTCACATCACCATCACCATCACCATCACCATCACCATCACCATCACCATCACCATCACCATCGCCATCACCATCACCATCACCATCACCATCACCATCATCATCATCATCATCATCATCATCATCATCATCATCATCATCATCATCATCCAAAGCGCCCCGGATCGGCGCCACTGGCCGGAGGCCACTACAATAATTACACATTCGGTGCCGATTTGCTTATGTTTTGGGCCGCAGAAACTTCCCCCGGGGACCTAAAAAAACGATCCGGCTGGGAAACGCCGATCCGACTTGACCCCGTGAGAGATCCAGGGGTCCAGTGTGACCGTGGCAGCCCGCCGTACTATTCCCTGACATCCGTCCTCGCCCTCCGCAGCTTCCCCCGCCGCCGCCGCCGTCGTCGTCTGCGTCTTTGTCGCCGTCGGCAATTTCCGTGCGTTCCCTGGAGCTTCCGGAAGTCTTCGAGCCATCCGCCACGCCTCGTGCAGAGCTCTAGGGAGCCCAGGGAGACTTGGAAGGGGGCTCGGGGAACGCAAGGCAGCGTGTCGAAAAGAAGGGGGGGGACTTACGCTATTACAATACCCCTGCCAGGCGGCACTTGGCATTCGAAAACGCCCACATCGGGCAAGCACGGTTGCGCAGGACCGGGGATTCCAGACGGCCTTCTCCTGTCGTGCACGGGCCATTTACCCTCCAAGGCATCCGGTGCCACGCTATGGCATGCAATGTGATGTTGCGTTGTGCTCCGCTGTGCGATGCCATGCTTTGCGATGTTAAGTTTCGTGATGCATCGCTACACTACGCAAGGCCACGCTATGCTATGACATGCTCGGCTCTGCCGCGCTCATCTACACCATGCTCTGCCGTGCTTTACCATGCATCGCAAACCCTCGCGGGATCATTGCCTTGCTCGGCATCAGCCTGTGCGCATCAAGAGGAGATCTGCGCCATGGTAAGGGTTGGGAGGGAGGGGTATGACGACAGATATGACGCGAGCGCACCTGGCTTGCCCCCTCCCCCTTCCCCTCCCCCTCACCTTCCCCTCCCCCTCACCTTCCCCTCCCCCCTCCCCCTCCCTCTCCCCCGTTGTTGTCCTCGTCGTCGTCGTCGTCGTCGTCGTCGTGGTCGTGGTAGTCGTCGTGGTCCTGGTCGTGGTCCTGGTCGTGGTCGTGGTCGTGGTCCTTGTCGTGGTCCTGGTCGTGATCGTCGTCGTCGTCTTCCGTCGTTGTCTTCCGTCGTCGTCTTCTGTCGTCGCCTTCTGTCGTCGTTTTCCATTCTCATCTTCTGGCATCGTTGTCATCGTCGTCGTCGGCGGCGGCATCATCGCCGTCGATGGACATTCGAGGATCACGACTCGAAAATCGATCGAAGCTCGTGGGGAAACCACAAGGTACCGATACCGCTACAGCCTGGACCTCGCCCTGGGTGCGTCCTGACCAGGATTTCGAGGCGAGTCTAGCGGTGGCGACGAGGGCCTCGCAGGAGGCCGGACAAAGGGGGACACGGGCGAAGGGCAGCGGTATATGGGTACCCTTTTCTTGCCTTGAGCTCGAGGTGCGATGCCCGCGATGCGAGACCGCGCCTAGGGCGAGGCGGGTGCGCCTCCTCCTCGTCATCGTCCTCGTCATCCTCATGGTGCCCATTACTCCTCTTAGCTGCTCCTCCTCCTCCTCCCCTCCTCCTCCTCCTCCTCCTCCCCCTCCTCCTCTTCCTCCTCCTCCTCCTCCTCCTCCTCCTCCTCCTCGCCCTCCTCCTCCTCCTCCTCCTCCTCCTCCTCGCCGTCGATGGAGATGCGAGACCGCGCCTCGGGCGAGGCGGGCGCGCCAGCGCCGCCCCCGCTGGTGGCCGCCGACGCGGAGGCGGCCGATGCCTTCGCCCTCGCCCTGCTCCGGGCGCCGGCCGCCGCGGCAGGGGGGCGGGCGCTGGCGGAGCGGGCGCGGGCCTTGCCCGCCGCCTTGGGCGCCATGGGGCGAGCCGCATGGGCCGAGCTCGGAGCAGGAGGAGGAGGAGGAGGCTCGGAGGAGGGGGAGGAGGAGGAGAAGGAGGAGGAGGAGGAGGAGGAGGAGGAGACGAGGGACGACTACGACGAGGACGACAACGACCACGGCGACGACGACAGCGACGACGACGACGTTGAGAGGAGGGAGAAGGGGTGGTGAGGGAACGAGGAGGAGGAGGAGGAGGAGGAGGAGGAGGAGGAGGAGGAGGAGGAGGAAGGAGGGCGAGGAGGGGGATGAGGAGGAGGAGGAGGAGGATTGGGGGATGAGGATTGGGGGAGGAGGACTGGGAGGACCAGGAGGAGGAGGAGGAGGAGAAGGATGAGGAGCTGGAGGAGGAGAAGGAGCAGGAGCAGGAGCAGGAGCAGAGCAGGAGGAGGAGCAGGAGGAGAAGGGAGGAGGGAGGAGGAGGAGGAGGAGGAGGAGGAGGAGGAGGAGGAGGAGGAGGAGGAGGGGGAAGCGAGAGGCGGTCCCGCATGTCCATCGACGGCGAGGAGGAGGAGGAGGAGGAGGAGGAGGAGGAGGAGGAGGAGGAGAAAGAGGAGGAGGAAGAGGAGGAGGAGGGGGAGGAGGGGGACGCGAGAGGCGGCGGGCCTTCCTTTCAGAAGGCTCGCGGAAGTCTCGATTCCGGACACTGGGATTAGGTCGGGCATGTTCCCCTACAGGGGGATTGTGGATGAAAAATCAAAAATCGCCCAACAAACATTAGAAACACGTGCAAACATACTCACAAAATCCTCCCCCGACCATGTTTTGACTACTTTTAAATATTCCTCCTGTGGAGGGACAGGCCCGACTTAACACTGGGAGTTCAAAGTCGGTCCCCGGGCCCCCCCAGAGGGGTCCGAATCCAGCAGTTGCCTCCGCGCCGCGCCCGGCCGTGGCGACGGGTGGGCCCGAAGGCCAACTGCAGTCGGGCTCGCTCGGAGAGGACACGCTGAAGGGACACACGAGACTCTTCTGAGGGACACATTGCCACAGGAATGCAAAGGCACGGGCCTCTAAAAACAGGACGCGAGAGTACCCTCGATTTGGCAGGGTCGACCTACTAATCAAGGCCGGCTGTACTGCCTGTGTCTCAGAAGCGGCTCTCCTCGGAGGAGTGCTGCCAGGAGTGCCCCCTGGGCCTACAGGTGCTCGCCCGAGGATTTTTCAAGGACTCCGAAGGAGATTCCCGACAAGGACTCCGAAGGAGATTCCGAAAACAGATGCCGAAGAGATCCCGAAAGGAGTCCGGAGGATGCCCAGAAAGGATCCCCGAGGGATTCCCAATGGACTCCTGTGGGAATCCTCATGGGGATCCCTGAGGGATTCCTGAGAGATTCCCAAAGTCGAGTAGTGGATCGACTACAGAATTGATTTACCTCCAAATTGACTTTCCCCATCGAAGCTGCGACGAATACGTTGAATGATCGTGCATCTACTGAAGACTCTGAGTCTTTTGTCTGTAGATTCGACGAGACAATGAATTGGGGTGAATCACTTCTGTAGTCGATCCCCTACTCACAAGGATTTCCATGGAAGCCCCTCGCGGCCTCCAGAGAACCTCCCCAAAACAAGGCCCGAACAGGGCGGGGTGGGGGGCACCGAGGGGGCGAGACCAGACGACGACGCGAGAACAGTTTTAAACTATTTGCGCATTTCGGTCTTATAACCTTTTTAAAAAAACATATCTTTTACATACGTAATAAAAAAGACTAGTACATATACTTGATGTAATCTACTACGTATTGTAATATAGTGACAATACTTAGATTCAACGGAATATTCTGCATGCTGAAAACAAATCCGGTAAGCAGGACGAGGCCAGGCAGTCAGCCATGGCGGTCCACTCTTCGCACAACGCCCACTCGCAAACGTCTGACACAAAACACACGTCTTCCTCTACTCGCGGGCGATGTTTCTGCCCCAATCCCCGAGTTTCGCCCGAAAAGTTTGGCCGCTCAGAAAAATGGAAACAACCTGGGATACACCCCAAGGGGGCTATTCGGACGCACCCCTGTCGAGGATGGACACCCGCTCATCGTATATCCCAGGGTTGGGCCCCAAACTTCTGGTCCATTCAGAACCCCACGAAGCCTGCGATAGGGGTCGACATTTCCCCTGTTATCTACGTAAGTGGGCACATATCCCCCGCGGCGGACTCGGGCCATTTGCGAGCAACCACTCTGCGAGTTGTGGACCGCGCTCGTCGAGGCGAGACGAGGGAACGCCAGGGCACTCTCTCCTCGCTCTCTCTCTGCTCGCGCTTTTTTTGTCAGGCCCCGCGCTCCTCCTCCCCGCTAGCCTCAGGTCCTGTATACTTTGGGTCGGTTGAAAATCATGTTCCCAACATTCAACAGTTCGGTAGAGCTCTCATATTGTTTCCCCATGGACTTTGATCTTAGTGCGACTAGCCATCTTGATATCAGGTCGATGGGGTGGATATTACCATCACAAAGCACATGGGCGGGATCGGGTGTTGAGTGTCATCTTGGCAGTCCTCTCACAGGCGGATCTTGGAGGAACAATGAAACATACCCAGGCAGTGCTCGAACATCATTACAACATATTCGAACACTCGTCCCCTGACTACTCTTTGACTGTTTCTGAACACTCCGCCTGCAGAGGGACATGCCCGAGAAGGCTAGGCCCCCATGCCCCCCTGCCAGGCCGGGCGCACTCGGCGGTCCACAGGGCGCGGCCACAGGCCGCTAAACCGGCGCCGCTCGCAGGTCGACCTGGCACGCCCTGGCGCTGTTTTTCGGCCAAGCAGGCGCCCGATTCGGGCGGTCTCCCTTCGGGGAGATCCTCGGACGTTGTCGCAGAAGGTTCTCGGTCGTTTTTGTGGATTCCGAACGGGTTTCTCGCCGCGGTATGCCTTCCAGCAACTGCGCCTCGCCGAGAGCTTTGCGGGGGTGTCTGGATCGTCCCTGACGGCCGCCAGGTGCCCGAGTTCTGACCCGACAGCCAGCAGTCGGGGGAGAGAGAACAACAAGTTGATAGGCTGATCGGGGAAGAGCGGGAAGATTGGGGCGTGAGTGGGGGGTGAAGACAGGCATGGGGGGAGCTGGTGCGGCGGAAGGGGGGCGGCAATAGGGAGGAGGAGGAGGCGGAAGATAGAAGGTGGGAGCAGGAGGATCAGAAGGAGTTGTTGGGATTGAGGAGGGGGGGGGGGCAGGACCAGAGGAGGAGGAAGAGGAAGGAGGGGAGTAACCTCCCTCCTCCGAATGTTTGAGCCGAAAGGCCAATCAACGTCCCCTCTTGTGCTCCCCGCCTCCACCGTCCCTCTACATTTCCCCTTTCCCGCCTGCTCCTCCTCCCCTGATGGCCCGCCCCTCTCCCTCCTCTCCCCCTCCCCCCATTTATTTCCCCTTCCACCTCTCCTCTGCCTCATTCCGTACAGTGTAGACCCGCTAGACCCCTCTGCCTCCCCTCCCCACCTCTTCACCTGGCCTCGCCCTCTCCGTCCCCCGACCCCCTCCCTCATCAAGGACCCCGCTCGGGCTACCACACGGGCTGGGTCCTTGTCCAAGGCCTTGATCCCGTCAATGAGGGCGGCGATCTCCTCTGCCAACGTCGCGATTCCGGCCTGGCCATCGCGGCACCGCGCACGACATTCCAGATCTCCGGATGCTCCTTTCCTCCCTCACTCCTCCCCATCCTGCTTCTCCTCCTCCTGCACCTCGTCCTGCTCTTCTCCTCGTCCGCCTCCTCCTCCTCTTCCTCCTCCTCATCCCTCCTCTTACTCATCGCCTCATCATCCCCCTCGCTTCTCGCTCCTGCCCCCTCCTTGTCCGCCAATTTCTTCGCCCTTTCGGACTCATCCCTTTCCCATGCTTCCTCCCAAACAGAGAAATTCCTCTCCTTCCTCCTCGTCTTCCTCCTCTTCTCTCTCTGCCTTGTCCTGAACCCCCTGACTCGGCGTCCAACCTTGCCGGGGACAAGGCATCAATTATCCCCGAATCCGCGCAGGAGGAGGAGGAGGAGGAGCGAGCGAGGCGCTGGTGCAAGCTCATGCGGCGAAACGCGTGTGCACGTGCCCGTTTGGGCAAGGCGCGTGAGCCCGTAGCCTCGCAAGTCATGCGCAACTCTGGCACACATGCCGATCTTCATGACGAGGGCATGAACATGAGGAGGGAGGAGAAAGACTCGGGGCAACGCTGGAGGAGGGGCGATGTCGGAGGTAGGGGATGATGATGCTGATGATGCTGCTGATGATGCTGATGATGATGATGATGAGGAGGAGGAGGAGGAGGGGGAGGAGGGGGAGGAGGAGGAAGAGGAGGAGGAGGAGGAGGAGGAGGAGGGAGGAGGAGGACTTTTGCCACTTTGCGCCCCTGGGGCCCCTCGTCGCCGAGGCTGGATCCGTCTAGGAAATCGTGGTCGAAGCGCGCATCTGGTCATGAACGCCGAACGGTAATCGAGCAGATCACTGAATGCATGGGGAACATGGCTAGCATTCGGTCGGGCATGTCCCCCTACAAGAGGATTTTGGGTAACACATCGAAACTAGTAAACAAAAATCCTCAAACATCGTCAAACCTGGGAAAACAAATCGTCCCCATACTATTTTTTGACTACTTTTGAGTATCCCTCCTGTAGAGGGACAGGCCCGACTTAAGACTAGCATCGGTTTGGCCTGAATGGGGTACGCACGTCATTGAGCACAGCGAGTCAAGGCCATTCCAAAGCGGCACACGTGTATCACACCCTGCTGTAGGACCGCGCGAGAGGAAGAGGGAGCGGGTAAGGATGATGATGTTGCTGCTGATGATGCTGATCATGATGATGTTATGGTACGCTGCTACTGATGACGATGATGATGACGACGACGATGCTGATGATGATGTTGATGCTGCTGATGTTGATTCAGATGATGCTGATTAACATGATGATACACCAGACTCATTTCTATAGCGCTCAGTTCTATAGTGCTCACACTCAAAATGAAATCCAGAAGGGGCCGCACATGCAGGCACATGCCGCACAATCAAATGCACATGTCCATGCAACTCCACAAAAGCCTCAACAGCACTGCCGCACATGCGCACACATGCTGCACAGTCGGATGCACAGTCGGATGCACAGTCTGGCAAAACTCTGAACACATAAAACGCACATGCGCGCTCATGCCGCAGAGTCGAAACATCGGAGGAGGAGGGAGGGACAAATGAGCAGGAAAGAGGAATGAGGGGAGAAGCGAGGGGAACGAAGGAAACTAATGCGGCTGGCACTCAAACTGAAACACCATACCCGCATAAAATATGTGGCATGATGTAACACCAATCCAACACAAGGATGGGGTCAGCGCTCCGGTAATGTAGATCACGCGAGGATGTCTCAGGCGAAAAGGGCTTGACCACCTGAGCACAAGGCATCTCGGAACCCAGAAGTGTGAGGATGTCTCAGGCGAGAGTGGCAGGACCACCGTAGGGCAGGGCATCTCGGAGGTCAGAGTTGCGGAGTTGTCTCAGGCGACAGTGGCCTGACCACCTCAGCGCAGGGCATTTCGGAACCCAGAGGTGCGAGGATGCCTCGGGCGAAGGTGGCCAGACCATCATGGGCAAGGGCATCACCGAGGTCCGAGTTGTGGGGATGTCTCAGGCGACAGTGGCCTGACCACCTCAGCTCAGAGCATATCTGATGCCAGAATTGCGAGGACGTTGATGATGTCACCGCCTGCTGGATAATGAGACGGTTGATTATTGAACACGAATTGGCCCCAACTCCTGGTACATGTCAAGCGCCCATCGCTAACAGAAACGGCGAGAATCTTACTTGCTCCTGCCCCGGCAGGAACATTGCCGAGACCTAGCGACTGCCGCAGGGCGCAACGAGAATATGAAGGTTACTCGACAAGCTCGCTTACTTGAGCTAGACTGCCATGAGCCTCGAGTTGTTTCCGGATGCGTATTGGGATCCTCTTGGAGGACTCATGAGGCCTGCTGGAACGCTGGGTACCATCCAAGAACTGTTCGGGACACTCTGATATCCGGAACGGCGAATGTGCGAAAGCCATGCGATCATGCAAACACCCAGGGAGCACCAGCATGGCTTGCCTCTTCGGGGCCTCTCGTGATCATTTTTTTCTATTACCCGTGGGCTGTCTCGGGCAGCTCCTGGGCCACGTTGAGTCCATCCGGGAGTCCTGCGGACCTGCTCGGGAGCACTGCAGCGGTGTTGAATGCCCTCTTGGGAAATCTAAGGGCACACCTGCACCGTCTTGGAGGCTAGAGGCCTCCTAGGGAACCATTTCGGGCCACCTTCGGTCGTATTGAATTCGTTTTGGGGCAATCGCGGGGTCCTCTTGGGCCGTCTGGAGGCTATCTTGAGAGCCTCTTGGGATATTCCGGATGTGGGACAGGGGTCACTCTCTTTTTACATTGGTCCACGGAGCAGCAGAGTGGCGGAAGCCACAATCATCATCATCAGCATCAGCATCAGCATCAGCATCAGCATCACCATCATCATCATCATCATCATCATCATCACCATCATCATCATCATCATCATCATTATCATCATCATAATCATCGCGCTCGTCGCCACCATCAATATCAACATCAGCATCAGCATCAACGTCATCATCATCGTCGTCATCATCATCATCATCATCATCATCACTATCATCATCATCAGCATCAGCATCACCATCAACGTCGCCATCATCATTGTCAACATCATCATGGTCATCATCAACATCATGCGCATCATCGTCATGAGCTTTCAACACCCGCATCATCATGACCAGCAACATCATCATGAGCGCCATAATCAACAATCGCATCACCATGACAACATCACCATCATCAGCATCAACATCCGCACCATCATCAGCGTTATCATCATGATCATCATCCTCATCATCATCAACACCACCACCATCGCCATCACCACCATCATCATCATCACCACCATCATCATCAGCATAACCCTTCTCATTATTTGCATCATCATCACCACCATCACCATGTTTATCATCATTATCATCATCATCATCCTCATCATCATCATCATCATCATCAGCATCATCATCATCATCATCACCGTCGTCGTCGTCGTCGTGGTCGACGTCGTGATCATCAACGCCGGCGCCATCATCATTATCCTCATGGTCATCAACATCCTGACAACCGAAATCCGCCGACCCCCGCTTGCCAGGGATGAAAAGGCGTGTGAGATATTTGGCTGTCCCTCTCCCCCGTCCCCCCTCCCCTGGGGTCCAAACGGCCATTCTAGGGGAGGGGTGGGGCGCGAGCTCGTCAACGTACCCCTGGGGCCTCTGGAGCCCTCCAAAAGTCCCAAGACAGCCCAGCAGGGCCCAGACAGATCGCCAAGACAGTCGAAGAGAGCGTCATGACGGCCCAGGGTAGCCGTGCGAGGATCCAAGATGGCTTTAAGATGGCCCCCGAGGCCCCAAAGACAGCCCACAAGCACTTCCACAGGATCGCCGAGCGGGTCCGAAGAGGCTCAACTCATCGCACTCCCTTCGAAAAAAACACATCTGTTCAGCACGTTCACATTTTTCGTTTTGACAGCGACAGACCAAGTGGCCCCCAAGATCGTCCAAAAACGGCCCCGCCAAGGCGGCCCCCAAACGGTCAGAAGGCCCAAAAACAGCCCCAGGGGCCCCAGGCCCAAGACAGCCCTTGGAGGGCCCCTCGAGGGCTCCAAGAAAACCCCCAAAGGGGGAAAACGAACTGACATCTCGAGCCTTTTCCGCGAAGATGGCCCCAAGAGCTCCGCAGAAGCCCCCGAGGGCCCTCCAAAAGGCACCCGAAACGCCTCCCAAAAACCCCCCAGCCCCGCCTGCTGCAGCACGCCAGTCCTCCTCGTGGGGCGGCCGTGAGGCTACCCCTGGCTCGGGGGGCGGGCCTCCGGGTGCTCAGCGAGCCACTCTCCGTCCCGCCCTGACCATCGCGCCGCCCTTCCTGGCCGCCGGGGTCCCGCCCGCGCCGTCCCGCCAGCGGCGGCGCGCTTTCCCATCATCGCGCCAGCGGCGGCCCACGGGCAGGGCCGCAGGCCCGCGGCGTTCGGAGGGCCCACGGGCGCCCCAGACGCCTGAACCACGCGCAGCAAGTGTGTGTGTGTGTGTGTGTGTGTGTGTGTGTGTGTGTGTGTGTGTGTGTGTATGTGTGTGTGTGTGTGGGGGGCAATCCAGCAGACGGTAGCCGCCGCAGCTGCCGTCTTTCCACGCACGGTCAGCTGCGCCAGCCCATCCTTCAGCCACGCGGGCGGGGATGGTGAGGGAAACGGTGGCGCCCTGCGGCATGCAGCTCTGGGCGGTGATCGGCTCCTCGACCTGCATCGTGGGGGTGGCGGGAACCAAGGCGGCTGCTGCTCGGCCGCCAGCCGCGCTGGGCGGCCTCGCAACCGCGCCTCCTCGCACAGCTCCCTGGCCCTCCTCTGCCTCATGCGCCAGGCCGCGTCTGGCGTCATGTCCTCGAAGAGGGCGCGGAACGGCTCCGTCGCGAGGAACTCGGACATCTCCTCCATGCAGTGGGCCATCCGCCCCTCGTGTTCATCGTCGCGCATGGCCAGGTTGGGGACCCACTGCCCAGCGAGGTCGGCAAGTCCGTCGAAGAAGTGCCTGAGCCGCTGCTCCGCCTGGTGTGCGTGGAAGTCCGTGGCGGCGGCTGGTTGGCTGGCTCGCTGGGTGCGCATCAGCGAGCAGCGCGCTCCCTTCGAGGCCCTAGCACGACGCAGCGACATTTAGCCTGGGGTGTTCCCTCTCGTGGGGGCTACCCCAGAACTTTGCGATCTAATGCGCCCGGCACGGCGTGGCGACATGTTGCCTGGGGTGTTTCCTCCCGTGGGGGCCTTTTCAGGACATTGGGTCGCCCTGCCGACGCAGCCGCCGCTGCCGCCCTCGAACATGGCACGGTGCTGGTCCTGCTGCATCTCTCGAGCACGTGCGCTGTGATGGTAGTCCCTGTGACTCTCCACTGCGCCGCACTCGTAGAAACTGCTGGGGCCGACCCGCTCCAGCGTGGGCAGCGGCGCGCGTGCGGTGTGACGGTGGTCACCACGACGCCCCGCTACTCCGCGCGCCGTGCTTCCACTGGGCGGGCCACCCCATTGCTCCGCAGAAGCAAGTCGAACATGTCCGTGTCCTCGCTGGGTGGGCCCCCCCCCGTGGCGCACTGGCCGCGCGGCGGCCGTCGCAACCGTGGCACTTCGAGGCGCTGTCCCCGCCGGGGGGCCGTCCTTCGGACAACCCGCCGCTTGCGCAGTAGGACTGCCACAAGGAGGCTCCGATGTTCCGGCTTGTGGTCCAGCGGGGTGGGGGGGCAATGCCGAGGCGTGCGCCGTCTCGTGGGAGTCGCAGTGGGCCCGAACATCCTGTCGCCGATGGCTCTGCGGAGCATCTCGATTGGCCCATCCAATGGCGCTCCTCAGGATCGGCGTCAGCGTGCCCAACGACGAAGGCTCGTCGCCTCAGCGCTCGTTGACGCCGTGCGCCGCCGCAGAGGTCATCCGCGATTTTGCCCATCGGCCCGCCGAACCACCGCCTCGGGCTCTCGCGCAGGGGATGATTGCCCTGGGCCAGCATCGCGTTGACGAGCAGCACGCACTGCTCCTGCCACGCGTGCTGGTCGCTGCTCTGCAGCGCAGCGCCGTTGAACCAGTGTGCCCCCCAGTCGCGCAGGTCGTGGAGCATGTCCATGGTGTCCCTCTCGACCTGCTGGTGATCTGGGGGGGGGGGGGGGGGCGTGGGGCCCATGGCCGACATGGGCTGGGCCCCTCGGCCTCCATCACCTTGGGCCTGAGCTTCGCCCCTCTGGCTGCTGCCAGGGCGAAGCGAGCGGCGGCGGAGGGTGGGCGGGCCGCTCGCGCCTGGTCGCGCAGCGGCCGTCACAACCGCAGCACCTCGTGGCGCAGGCGCCGCCGGGGACCCGTCATTATCGCAGCCATCCGCTCGCGCAAGACTGCCACCAGGAGGCTCCGATATGACTGCTTGTGGGCCAGGGGCGGGGCCGAGCAGGGGGGGGCGACGTCTCTTCTGGGCGACGCCGCGCCGCTGGGACACCCCCTCTGGGATCCTCGAGGATGGCTGCCTCTGCCGCGGGAGGCCGGAGGCCTGGGGGGGGAACTGGGCCTTCTTCTACAGGGTGCGTTGGTCGGCACTTGCGCGGGTGCCGCTGCCTCCGCAGGGGCCGGGGGGCACCTGCGCGGGTGCCGCTAGGCGCGGGTCAGGCTGTCGCTCGGCGGATGTTCAGGTTGCGTCCGCGCGGTCGAGCTGGCCGTGACCGTCGCCTTGGTGGTCGACTCGCAATAGGGGATGACTCCGCCCGATTGCGGCGCCGCGTGGTCCTGCGGCCATGGCCCTAGGCCTGGCGTGGCCGACGGCGGCTCGACCGGCATGACCCTCCTAAGTGCTTGTCTGCTGCGCTCCCGCTCAGGGCGTGCTGGCCGCCCACTGCCAGTGGCTGGCGCGCCCTGCGCGCGGTTCGCAGCAGCCTGGCGACGGTTGGCGGGGCTGGCCGCCGCCGCAGAGGGTGTCCCAGTGCGGCGCCTCCTTCTGGTGGCGTGGGTGGTGGTCGTCCTCCCCGCATCGCTTGTCCTGGCGCGGGATGGCCTCGCCGCCGCTCTGAGGGCATGGTCGCGCAGGATGCTTGTGACCGCGGTGAGCTGCCCCTCCGCGGCGGCGGGGGGGACCTGCTCGGGCGGCGGCGACAGCAGGGGGTCAGGCGGGGCCAGACCGCCAACGACCACGTGGGCGACGGTGGCACCGATGCGGCCCGCCCGAGCCGTTGGTTGCGGGATGCTGCTGTGGGGGGCCAGCTGACCTCGCGATCCTCTTGAGGGCTCCCGTCGACTTGCGGGGGGTAGTGCCCTTGAACTCCGTCCGCGGCCCCATGCCAATCGTCGTGCCACAGGCGCCGCACACGTTGCAGAAGAAGTGGCTGTGGGTGGGGCACTCCATGATACGGTGCGAGCTGCGGGTGGCCCCCGTGCCCAGGAAGACTGGGTTGCCGTGGGTGGCCTCGAGGGCGCGGTCGAACGTGGCCCAGTCGATGGCTGATGGGGTGGCAGGGTCCCGCAGCCACCTCCTGAAGCGTGGCAAAGGGGAAACAACTGGCGGCAGAGGGGGCGCTGCCACTTGCCCTGGTCCAGCGCGACGATCTAGTGCTCTGATCTGTCGATGGCGCTCTGGAGAAGGGGAAGGCGGGCGGCCGTTTCAGCTGCCAGCCTCTCAGTGAGCCATGGGTTGCCGCCTGCCGCATCCACGAGCGCCTGCCTCGCACGCCTCCTAAAATGTAAAGCAATGGCGTCCCAGTTGTCGGCGCGCGGGGCGCTGGCCGCGGCGGTCTGCTGAGCGATCTGGGCCCCGAGGTCAGCGAGCCCGTCGGCGCAGCAGTTGCCCGTGGCCAGGTTCTGCGAGACGATTGGTTCGCCGTCGTCGTCCTGGTGGGTGGCCCGCCTGTTGGACTGGGCACCGAGGGCTCTGCCAATTCGCGCCCAGAGGTCACCATTCCTGCCGCCGCTCAGGCTGGTCCAGCGCTGCCTGCCCCACGCAGCCAATAACGGCTTGTGGTCTGTGACGAGCTCGATGTCGGCGCGCGTCCGCTCGAAGGCGAGCGCGAATGCGTGGATCTCTCCACGAGGCACCGTCTGCTTCCGCCCAGGGGGGCGTAGCAATGGCCCCCGAGTGTGGCTGCCAGCGGCCGCTGGTGTTCGTGATGATGGCGAGGCCAATGCCGATCCTCCTCCTGCGAGAGTCGTCGCTGTGCCTCCCGCCCGAGTCGTCGCCGGAGATCGCGCGCTGCCCGTCTGTCGGCTCAGGCCGGGGTTGGCGTTGGCGGCTGGGTTGATCTCTCGTTTCGCCGCGACGCAGGACAGCCTTCGACGCTACTGAGGGCCTGCGGGACGAAGTGGGCCGTCTGGTCGTAGGCTGATTTGCCCGTGTTGCACGGGCAGCGCCATGTGCGATGCTCGATGGGGCTACTCCTCCGAATGGCAGCGCTGGCAAAATGGGGAACTTTGATGCCCCGCGCTGATTTGCCTCGGCCTCGGCCACTGCCCGCCCGCCACCACCAGGTAGTTGAGGGCCCACTCCTGCGAATGGCCCTCCTTGGCACAATGGCCCAGCTCCCCCGTTTGATCTGCGTCGCGTCGCTGTTTCCACCGAGACCTGCGCCATGGGCATGCTTGGCTGCTCTCTTCCATCGCAGGGCGTCCAAGTCCTCGGCGGGGCCGCCGATGAACTCCAAGAACTCGTGGAAGCCGACCATGAGGCAACCGTTGGTGCCAGCCAAGGGGATGGTCCACTCCTCCGCGTCCTCTGCAATAAGCCCTCCACGAGTCAGGCTTAGCTGGACTTCGCCCAGCGTCGAGCAGCGTGGCGATGATGGCTGCCACTGGCCCCATTGACCTTCTTCCACCTACCTTCCTTCGCGCGGAGGGGCGGAGGGGCCGACGGCGCGCGTGGGGCCAAGCGCGCTGGGCCTTCTTGTGGATCAGAGGCTTCGCCGGCCACTGGGCCAGCCACTCGCTGACCAGCTGGGTGCGGAGATTGATGGCTGGGTCCTTGTAGTGGTAAAGGACAGCCATGGCGGTGTCGGGGCAACGTCTTGGACCTGCTCCAGCTGCCGCTGCCGCTGCTGCGCGTCGGAGCCGCGTGATGCGGGAGGGGGCGGCGCCCCAGACTTCGCGCCCACTGACCGCTTGTGGCTGCGCCCCTGTGGCGCGGAAGCTGGCTCCGAGCGCGTTCAAGCGGGCGGCCGCTCGACGGGGGCAGGCGGCGCGCTTGGCTCGCTTGGCCGCCCTCGTGCCTAGCGTGCGGGTCGATCGAGCCGATGCGCTTTGCAGCGTCGGCGTAGAGGGGCGCGTGGTGTACGCCGCCTAGGTGTTGGGCCGTTTCGTCCAAGGTCGCCCTGTGCAGCGCGGCGCGCAGTGCGGAGGAGTCCTTGATGGCCGTGCCCCAGTGGTCCTCGAGGCCCTGCGACCGCTGGTCGACCGCGCCGCTGCGGGCCCGAGCCCAGATGCGGATGGACATGGGGAGACGGCCGAGGACTCGATCCCCCCCCCCCCTGCAGGCCTGCCCATCACTGCGCCCAGCGTGTCATTGAGCTGCAGCGGCCGCGTGCAGTGCCGCTCAGCCTGGCGGGGGGTGTCAAGGAACTGTTCCTTGCCTCTGTCGGGGGCCTCTCGATATCGAGGGGGCTCAGCCTGTCGACGACGCACTGGGCCTTGCGCGGCCCAGGTTTGCGCGTGGCAGCGCTGAGCCCATCCGACGTGAGCGGTTGGGGGTCTTCGTTGGCAGCTCGGAGACGTAGTTGGGCCAGCGCTGGCGGCGTGGCATGCTTCCTGCCATGCGGGGCGGTCCGCGCCTGGGCCTAGGTGGCCGCCTTGGTCGCCGTGGCGTCGACGGGGTTGGCCGGCGCGCCGCCTTTGGTCTGGTCCTCCAGGCGCTCCATGTCGCCGTCCTTGGACCATCGGTGGAGCTGCCCAATGGCGGTCTTCTCTGCCCAGGCCGCGAAGCGTCTGCCATCCTGAAGGCCCCCCCCCCGGCGTCGCCAGCAAGTGTCTGTGCTATGTCCCGAAGCTCGGCCAGTGCACGTGGGGTCCTCGTGCCGAGGCTCGTTGCCCTCCCCGTGTATGCCTCGCGCTTGCCCGGGAGCTTTGCGGTGGATAGCTTGGCGGTGTCGCGCGGGGTGGGGCGGTGGAAGTCCTGCCGCCGCGACATCTGCCCAGGTTCCTTGCCGCCGGCTGCCAGCGCGGTGATGGCCGTGGGGCTGGCGCGGTGGATGGCCCGCGCGTCTGCCTCGGGGTCGCGGAGGTGCGCGCGGCCAGGGCTGGCCGCTGCGAGCTTCCAGGTGGGCCTAAAGCCTCTGGCCCTGCCTCGCATCGCATCCCAGTTGAGCTCGCCCCGCCCTTCGCGCGCGAGGATGGCGGCCTCCAGCTGGGGGGCCCGCGAGCCCCGAGAGGTCGGCCAGGGTCCGCGCGTGCATCGCGCGCGTCGCAATGAATGGATGCCGCGGGGCCCTGGGTTGGAGCGCCTCGCCGTCCCCGCGCTGGGTGGCTGCCGCGTTCCACGCCTCCTCCGGGGCGAGGGCAGCGGTGGTCGCGGTGGGCGTCTCAGGGGCGCAAGTTGGGCCTCCTGCTGCGGCGGGTGGGTGTGGGGCCCAGGCGGCTTGTTACGCGCGCGCGCTCTGGGCCCGCGGGCGACGGTGGGGCCCGGCAGCGCCGCGTCCACAGGCTCCTCCTCAAGGTCGTCGAAGGGGTCCCACTCGCCGCTGAGGTTGGTTGAGGCTGCCACCCTGTTGGGGGGTGGCTGGGGGCGGCCCGCCTCGCGCGCGCTGGCCGCGGCGCCGACCTCGGTCAGCTTCGACCGCCCCTGCCTGCTGGTGCCTGCCATGCTGTCGTGGCATTTGGCCTGGTTGACGCCCTGGAAATCACGGCCGACGTCCTCGGGGTTTCGCGCGGCCCTCTTGGCCAGCGCCTCCCGCCGCCCAAATTAGACCTCGCCATCCCTGGGGGGCTGCGATCTGTGAAACAGTCGCCACTTTCGAGGCCTGCTGGGGGGGCCCAGCACAGTGACGCCACGGGCATACCCAAATTAGACCTCGCCATCCCTGGGGGGCCGCTTCGAGCCTCCGCTGCCGGCCCCGGGTTGGCCATCAGCACGAAAAGGCAGGCCGGTATCCTCAGGGCCGCTGGGGA